TCTCATGAGCAGGCTTTAGAAAAATGAGGGCAGAGAACACTACAATGGTTGGATGATCCTCAATTTTGGAGTGTTGTAACCAACCCATCTCAAGCAAATTTCTGAAGCAAAGCACAGTCACCGAGGAGAGATATTAAAAACCAAGTTGCAGAAACCCGATCTCAGAAACTCACCAGCCATTGATGAATACAGAATGCGGACCGTTTTAAGGCACACAGAAAAATTCAGAAAATTCTCAAAAGTTTACAGGGCTTTCGTTCCTCGGTAGATGAACAACTTTCATGAAGAAGGTTTTTTTATTAGAACTTCCGAAATGGAGCTTCTAAATTGATGAATATTACCACGGGTTTGGATTCTTGAAGAAGAAGAAGAAAGAAGACACGGAAGAGGAAAGAAAAGAAAGAGAACCAATGAGGAAAACAGAATTGTGGCAGAACCGTAAACCAAGCAAAAAGTCATGGCAGAATTCGAAATATAAGCAAGGTGGTGGCGGAATAGTAATTCAAGCAAGATTGGGGGTAGAAATGTAAATACATGCAAACTCAGTGGCATAATCATAAATTCAGACAGATGGGGAAGCACTCTTGCCAATCCAAAGCACTCTCTACAAACCCAAAAACAATCTAGATTGGGAAACCACAAATCGTTGCTGGAGCGTATAAATTTGATTTTGGGTCGGGTTTAATTATTCGGCCCATTCCAGCACTTATCCATGGCCCTAATAATTAAGGGGGCTAATGTTGAGGCCCAAAAAATCCATGGTTGGGGCCCGAATAAATTTCTAGCCCAAGACGATATATTATTGGAAAAAGATCCGATTTGGAGCACATGAAAGTATGACATACACGAGTCATACTCCGCACGCCATGCTAAATAAAAATCCGTCGAGCTAGGAATTGAGATTAAAATTATAAAATGCATTTAGCTCTGCAAATCCATGCCAATTATCCTATCAAGCGCCATATTTAAAAGCATGCCAAGCAACATGCCATGCCAAGCGGGGAAATTATTATTTCACACCCAATCGCACTACAAGCTTAAGTGGGCCCAAGCCACTCAAATGCCCGGGCTTGCTTGAGTGGGTTGTGGTATGGATGGTAACGAATTGTCATGGGCCCATTGATGGACCGAGAATGGAGGTTCCGGGTTACTTGGGGGCCTCGGAACCCAAGCCCATTTCTTAGGCCCAAACATGTGGGTAAGCACAAGAGAGGAAATAGCCCAATTGCTTCAACTAGAGTAGCCCAACCAAAATAACCCATTACTTTAGATAGCCCATAAAGCCCAAATACTTGGTGAATTTAACCCACTTATTAGATGACTTGGCCTTCTATATTAAAGGGCCCATACCATTTGAATAAAAGGAGTCCAAGGCCTTCAGCACTTGGCTGAAGCAGAAGTCCACGAAGAAAGCCAAAGATTCACATGTGAGGGGCTGCTGGGGGAACAAGTTCCAAGTGCAAGCATTCAAGAAACCAAGGGGTATTAGCACGCAGGGGAAGATGCTATCCCTTAAACCAGCAGGCGCACCCATTTTCTTTCCTTCATCAGATTTGGCCGTGAAAAGAGGAGGAAAGAAGAGAAAGAAGATGGGTGAAAATGGAAGCTCTCCTCTGAAGCTGTTGAAGCCTCGAGCTCCCAAAAATCCCTGATTTTGTGGGATTGGGCAGAACTGATTTTTGCCTCCATGAGGTAAGTCAAGCAAGAGGAGAAGAAAGGAAGAGGAAAGCTTAGCTAGATTGGAAAGAAACCATTAGGGTTTCTTGGAGAAGACCCATTCCCAGCAGCTATAAATAGGACCCCTTCTACCCAACACAACACAACCCACAACCTTCAGAGAGCAAGCTTTCTCTCTCACATGCAAACCCAGGAATTTTCGTGCTATCCTTCCTCATTTTCCTTTATTTCCCCTGTTTTGGCAGATTGACAGAAGCTTTGACAGAGTCACTGTCAAGCTGCCGGAAACTGCGAAAGTCACCCAAAACTCTTCACCATCCTTCTCCCTCTTCATCAAAGCTCCTTAGAGCCTCTCTCCCTCTCCATTAGAACCTCTGTACCTCATAGGAACCCACAGATCTCTCTCTCCTAAAGTGCTAAACCCATGATAATTTTTGCTCCCATGCCATAAGTCACTCATGCCAAGCTAGAATATTTATTGTAATTTGTTGTCATTTTCATTGGTGAAGGTAACCAAGGAGTTTCCTAAGGCGTCATCACCCTTTCGAGACATCCTTGGGGCTTGATCTTCGAACTCAGACACAAGGGGACACTTGCATCAGATTGCTCTTTACAGCAGCCCAGCCCACTTGCTGCCGGAAGAAAAAAGCCCCTACACCAGTTAACCAATTTCACGGAAGAAAGTAAAGGAGCAATAATAAATTTCTTGTTATATCAAGAGGTTTGTTATTGATCATTTACTATTTAGTAATTTATTTATTTACTACGTAATAAAATATATATAACTATATATTTATAAACTGAATTATTGATCATTATTTAACTATTATAAATATGTTATTATTCAAAGAAGAGAAAAAATGAAAAGAAAAAAAAACAAGATAGACCAAAAAACTTTCTTTGATTTGAACTCACAAATAAAAAATCCTTCAATTCTCAAATCAAAAGAGAATAGAATAAATCATACTTTCATACAATTAATTATATGGAATGATCAATAATTAGTTTAATTATATGTAAATGAAAATAACCTTGCGCTACGAAGAAAACCATCGTCGCGCGGATTTTGCGCAACGGAGAAGATATGCGTCGCGCACACTTCAAATTTTCCGCGACAAATGTTTCCGTCGCGCAATTACATTTTGCGCGACGAAGCAAGATCTCTCGTCGCGCAAACATATATATTTTTGATATATACACACGTATATATTTGAAATTGACGATCGAAGTAGTTCATTGTATTCATATAGGGTCAAAGAGTGTAGCTGTAAAAAATCATCAAAATCGGAGTCAAAATAACCGTTAAATCATGACTTTTCGTTTATAACCGTCGAAAAGTTTTGCCCCGTTACTTGATCTCTGAATGTTTTTTTTTCCAATTTTCGACGTATACGATCTCGAAGTATAAACAAACAAGTTTGACGGCTGGATTACTGAAACTAGTTGGGTAGAATGCGTATGCCATCAAAACACCATATTCACCAAAAATGAAGAATTTGTTTATACTTTCCTTCAATATAACATAAGATTATGTGATGTCCCGTACTGTAAATATCTGAAATTGAGGATCGAATTCAGTCTCTGTATTCATATAGGGTCAAGAAATCCAGCTGTAAAAAATTTCAAAATCGGGTTAAAATCACCGTTGAATCGTGACTTTTTGTTTAAAACCGTCGAAAAGTTTTGTCCCGTTACTCAATCTCTGAATGTTCATTTATTCCGATTTTCGACGTATACGATCTCGAACTATAAAAAACAAGATTGCCGATTGGAACATTGAAACTAGTTTAGGAGTTAGGGTTTAGGGTATAGGTTTTAGGGTTTAGGGTATAAAGGTATGGGTTTGCGCGACAAAACTACTATATTTGTCACGCAAAGTGCACAGAAAAGTCTTGCGTGACGAAACACCTTTCCTTTCGTCACGCATTCTCCCTCATAACAAAGGCACACACAAAAACACTTAGTAAAATGTGGTGGCAAATCAGAGAGTTGCGCGACGAAAGGACCAAGTATTCATCGGGCAAAGGTTACACAAAGAGTCTTGCGCGACGAACCTAATTCTCTTTCGTCGCGCAATCTAAGGAAGAATTTCAGCCCCTCTCCACCCCAACACTTAGTAAAAAAAATTTGGCAAATCAGAGCTTGCGCGACGAAAGGACCAAGTATTCGTCGTGCAAAGGTTACAGACAGAGTCAATTTCGTCGCGCAATCTGAGTAAGAATTTCAGCCCCTCTCCGCCCCAACACTTTCGTCGTGCAATATCATTTCATTTATCTCCCCGCGCAAAATCGAATCCCAAAATTTGGGCGGATGGACAAACTTGCGCGACGAAACAAGTACTTTCCGTCGTGCAAAGTAGATAATTTCAAAACCTTGCGCAACATAGGAAACTCTTCCGTCGCGCAAAATGTGCAAACCCTAAACACTAATCCCAAATTTTGGCTGAGATGGCAACATTGCGCGACGAAATAATTATTCGTCGCGCAAAGTCGAATAAGTTTTCTGAAACTCACGATCTTCTCCTTCTTCCCCAGTTTCTCAAATCCGCCCTAAAACCTCTCTCTCTCTCCGCCATGACCTCGGCCCCTATTCCACTCCAATTCAGGCCCGGCCGCCACAACCATCGAACCCCGGAGCTTCCCCGCCGTCGCCATCCATCCTGCCGCCGTGATTTCCTCCGTTTAAGCCAAATCTTCGCCGCCGTTGTTCTCTCTCCTCCGGGCACCAAATCCGGCAATTGAGGTATGCTTTCTCGACTATTTTTTATGCTTTAGCTGATAGTTGGGTAGGATTTAAATTGAAATTCCGGCCACTTCTGGCCGTTTTTTGGGGTAGGTCCGAGAACAAAAGTGCCTCCAATTGATGTTTTGAACCTAGGGTAGGAACCTTGGCCCTTAATTTTTAGGATTTTCCGACGATTGTTATCGCTTTGGGCACCCATGCGCTGCCGGCGCTTGTGGTGGCGCGTGGGGTACTGTAGCATTGGGCATTGAGTCCCAGTGCAATCCCTTCGTTGTCATGAGCGCATAGGTGTGCTCGGATTGGAATTTGGTTACCGTTTGAGTCTCGAACGGATTTTGCCTATGGTGCGATTTCCGGGTTTGATATGTTCAGACCTTTGGATCAAGCTCAAACTCACATATGTGGTACCATGTATTTAGAGGATTGTTTAGGATTCGACGGATCGTGGATCGGAGTCCCGGATACTCCGAAATTGCAAACGCTAGGTCAAACTATGATTTTAATTAATTAGTTCAATTTTTTAATGACATTGTATGTGCTAAATTTGATTAATTTGTATGTGTATTAATGAAATTGTGCAGATGTCAGACTTGATTAGACGTCGTAGGGTGGTGACGACTACACTGAGTTTGGAGCCCCCGGCTCAGCCGGCATCAGCTGCCACTGCTCCAGCACTGATGGAGCACCACCGACACCACATCGACCAACGGTACTGGTGCCTCGGGGGCACCACCAGGTATATATACCCTTCCACTTTCATTTTTTTTTAATGGTTAAATTTGTTATTTATTTAACAGTATTGTCCTATCCCTTTGCAGCCAAGAGGAACACCTGAGGGCCGTGTCGGCAGCTAAAGACAGCGAAGGTCACCCGCGTGACCAACAATCGTATCAGCATCGGATACGACGAGCGCCATCGGGCTACACCGACGGCCGAGTTGCATAGCTCCTTGGCCCACGACATTGGCCACGTCTTTTGGACCCATTGCCCGATGCAATGGAAGTCTTGGAAGGTCATGCCTAACGAGATCAAGATGGAGGTTCGCGGCCAGTTGTCGGTATGTTTCCTATCTTTTAATTATTTTTCTTTCAAACTTTATATATTTCTATTACTTAATGTATGTAATTAATTTATTGCAGACGAACTACCACTTAGAGGACCTCAACGAGGAATCGATGGCGTACGTCAACAGACTCTTCGGTGAGAGGTACAAGCAATGGAAGAGCGATTTGCACCACCATTTTGAGGCGTTTGATGATCCACAAGTCGCCCTTCAGGAGGGTTGCCCGAAGGAGCTTGAGGGGCGGGAGGATAGTTGGGCGTGGCTCTGCGCTCATTTTTAGGCGCCCGATTATGTGGTATTTTTTTAATTATTACATATTTCTTATTAATGTTTATTTTATTTTTTATATGTCATTATTATTTAATTTATTTATATTTCAACAAATACGTTTTATTTTTTGTATAACAGAATAAAGCCCAAGTGAATAAGGGCAATAGGAAGAAGAAGACTCTTCTCCACCATTTCGGCTCCAGGCCCTTCTCATATAGGATGGATGCACTGGGTCGGGTAAGAACAATATAATTTATATTTAATTTTTAATACGTCATTATTATTAATTTATTTTGTTCATACTAATATTTTCCTTCTCTTGTTAAATTTAGGGGGGGTCGAAATTCCCAGAGATTGACGTCTTTGGTGACGTTTATGTTCAACCTGGGAATGAGTTGGCCGAGTCCCTTCATGTAAGTATTATTTAATTTTAATTCTCATGTTACGCTTTCAATTTATATGCATGTTTTAATTTATATTTTATGTAATGTTAAACAGACGACGATGGTGGAGAGGAGCCAGTTGGTTCTTCAGCAGTCTGCCTCCCAACTTCCTCCCGAGACTCCGATCGAGTCTGTGGATCCTCCACAGGATGCTGGATTTCAGATTTTGACTCAGACTCTTGGGAGGAGGCCGGGAACATATTGTAGGGGGATGGGGAATGCCTGACAAAGGGAACCTCGATCGCGGTCATCGTTGTAGGCAAACAGTCAGGTGACTGTTTTGACATCGCGGGTTGCCGAGCTTGAGGGTCAGATGTCGGTGATTCTGCAGTCCCTCGCTCGGTCCAGCATTCCAATCCCGAATTTTGGTGTGCCGACCTCCGAGCCTGTCCACCCCGAGCATCCCCAACAGACCACAACCCCTGTAAACGCCCAGACCTCCGAGCCACATGTGGCAGATGACCAAGTAGATTTTGGAACATTATTTGATTAGTTTTTTATTTTTATAATTACTTTTAAAATATTTCTCTTGTATACATTTATTTTATTTTATATAATAAAGGTTTTCTTTACGATTAATCTTTTTATTGCAATTTCATTTTAATTTTAAACAAAACCAAATTTATTTTTTTCCAAAATTTAAAAACAAATAATATTAATTTTTTATTATATATAATATATATTTATTTTGCGCGACGAAATGTATATCGTCATGCAAAATCTTTTTTTTTTAAATGTTGAAAAATATATTTTTAAAACACTTCATTTAATCATGCACGACGAAGAGTTTCGTTGCACGAAACGTGTATGCGCGACGAATAGTTTCGTCGAACGAAATTCGTATGCACGACGACGTTTTTCGTCGTGCAAAGACTAATAGCGCGACGAAGGTGTTTTCGTCACGCAAATTTCACGTATCTCGAGCGACGAAGAACTCCGTCGAGCATTCTTGGTGCGACGAATAGCCTTTCGTCGCACAAACGTTTGTGCCTCGGACATTTGGGTCGTCCCGAAACATTTTTTTGTAACGAAGGTGCTACGTCACACTCTTTTGCACAATGAAGGTCATAAATTCGTCGCGCAAAGTCTTTCTTCACGATCTTTGCGCGACGGATTCTGCGCGACGAAACTTCTTTCGCGCATAATTATGTGCGACTAAAATCATGTTTGTGCGACGAACATTCCTTCGTCGCGCAAAGCCTAAAATGTAGTAGTGTATGTAGAAAAAATATGATTTTTTATTATTAAGAATGCCCAAATTGGAAAAAAAAACACAAAAAATTTACTTTCACGGCTTTGGATATTTTGTTTATATAACACATCATTTCATTTGAATTATGCTCTTAAAAATGAAAAAATTATCAAATTATTTTCGATTTGTATCCAAGCCAAGCCCATCAATTCCACCACTTGTATCCAATCCCAGCAGGCTGTTTTGAGGTTTTCGATTTTTTTACAAAACTCCTTGAGATTTTAGAAAATATAAGAACACCCCTGAGGTTTTAAATTGCTATCACAAAACTCATTTTTATTGATTTTTCATCCAAAAACTGATGATTTTATACCCAGAAAAAAAAATTGTCCAAATGACGAAGTTGGCCTTTGAGATTAGATTGCATATAATTTTGTCATTTGCATAAGTTTCTTTTCAATAAAATCACCAATTTTTTTTAACAAACTGAAACCTCTGGAGGTGTTTGTGTAATTTTTGAGACCTGAAAGGGTTTTGTGAAAACACAATAAACCTTAAGGGTTGTTAGTGTAAATAACTCTTTTGCTTATAAAGCCTAAGGAAAAGTTTGATTTTATTTTTTCCTAAAACAATTATAATTTAATAAATGGCTTTAAATGGTCTGGCTCATTGGGCTTTGGGTTGGCACGGCCTATGGGCCTTGGACCGGCCTTGCCCATTAAGCCAAATTGTCCCATCTCGACCTATCCAAATATACAGGTCATGCTGTGTTGGCCCTTATTTAATCGGGCCACACTCATATTGTGATCAAACAATCCAGTCCATTTGATACCTCTACTTGCTAGGCAAATGCCAAATACAACTCACTCCAAAAACACAAAAAGCTATCCTCATCCAAAGTACTAGTCAAGGAAGCAACAAATGATCACCGAATTAAACAAGGGGGTAGGACAAAGTAGTCTGTTATGCTTATGTGTTTAACACTTCTTATACGGTTTTCTTAGGATTTATGGTTTTCTTATTTTTCTCTCGTTTTCGTATGATTTCCCTACATGTAATCTACTAGCATGGTTATTGCAGAGAGTAGATAAGAGTATGATGTGTAGTTCAATTCCTAGTTCCTACCATGTCAAAGAAACGAAAAAACAACTAAAAAGAAAAAGAAACGACGAAAAACTATAAGAAAGACACAAGGAAATCGCAGAAAAGGAACTGCATTGATAAGATTTGAGTCTATTTACGTGTATGTTTACTGACATTTGTGAAACTAGAGAGATAATTTTTGGCTATTTATAATAAAAACTCATTTTTCAGATTACAACCAAGTTTCACTAATTTAAAAAATGAGCCGAGCCAAGCCAAACATACAATCAAGCTCATTCCACGAATAACATGAGCCGAGCTGAGCTCAAATTAGGAAAAGATCATTTGATCACACAGCTTGAGATATATATCCAAAAATAAGAACACGAAGAAATATTAATAGCCCCCAGTTGTTGTAGTTCTTGCTAATTTTGCCAATCCCAACACGCCCTCCTTTGGTTGAAAAACTTTTATTGTTAACAGTGTTGATGGTTCCACCCCTCCTTGCTGTCATCAATATTGTTCGAATAACTTCGTTGTTGATGTCCAAAAACACAACTTCACTGCCTTCACTTGTGATAATTTTATTGCCAGAAATGTTCCAGGTCTCGTTGCTTTCAGTATCACTATTTTCTTGTTGCCATCTCCTCATGCAGTTGTTGACTTTCATTTTGGAGATCCATCTTATATTGAGAAGATGGGAAGTCTCGGAGATGCAAAAATAACAATGGAAAGGGTTTATGGGCAAATATTTCAAAACAGCTATGAATGGTATAGTCAAAAGTCTCGGAGATGTAACTTGTATCCTACATTGAGAAGATTAGGTGAAATGGCTCATATTAAATAGTTTTTCCTTGACGCAGGTAGTGTGTAGAGTCGTTAATTTCCTCGTATCTTAAAATCCCCCAACCCACAAATAATAATATATACAAACCTTCTGCAACTTTGACCCAAAAAAAACCCTTCTGCGACTTTATTGGAAGGGTGCAATTGGCGCAGAGAGAAGATAAATAAACAAGTCCAACTAATTTGCAATTCGTCTGTTGATATATCCAAAAATTTGTCACCCCAAGTCAGAATCCGCAGAAAAATATATCCAACAAATTGATATAAGACAAAAGAAAAGCAAATTAAAACAGGCAATGCCCAGAAAACAATAAATTTCAAATTAAAAACAGGCAATGCCCAGACAAAAACCTTGCCAGCTGTAGGCTTTCGTCTTAATCATTTTTGTTTTATCATGGCTTCAATGATTGGTCGCCAAGTGCATTGAGTCAGACATCTTTAGTAAAAAGGTTTGCTGTAAGAGGCAGTCGTCACTTCATTATTTTGGATTTTTGAGAGTATAGTTTTTTCTCTTCATTTCAGTTGTGTGAGGTCATGCTTTTTGAATGAGATTTTAAACTTGGTTTTAAAATCTACTTCTGTTTTTCAAAATATTTATCTAGCATTTCATACACTTCATACATCTAGATCTAGGACATATTCTTAATGGGTTTTCTTCAAGAATATGATCTTAAAGGCATCAATCTTATTAGTTTCTGAATCTATATTTCATTGTTCTAAGTAGATTCTAACCTACGCATCTGGTGTCATGTAGTGAAAAGCTTAAGCTGCTATTACCATGAAGACTAGCTGTAGTATTGCTAAGCTGAGTAGAGCTGCGTCCTAAATAGATATAGAAATTCTTGAGCTTGTTTGTTTGTGGAAAGACCCATTTTTTTTAAAGTATATATTTATTTTCAGGAGGAAATATTTAGCTCTTTATATATTTTATAAATTATATATGTATTGTTATATTCATTTTATATTTATATCTTTCATTATTGGTTTTCATATACAACATATATATAAGAACCCATATCTTCACTACTAGAAAGTTGTAAAATGACGACAGCATAACTCGTTGTGTTTATAAAGACGACATTGATAGAAAACCGACGTGGATTAGTAACTTAAATACTTTTAAAATCAAGATTCGTTGGGGTATTTTTAAAACACGATGCCCACAACTTCATAAGCGTTGTCTTATGAGACAGGCTAAACAGAAGTTGCCAATTATGTAAACACTTGACCCCTAAATAATGATAGTGGGTATAAAGTAACCGATGTAGATACTAAGGACGACGTTCCATCTACATCATTGACGTATTAACTTGTACTTAACCACGATGGTAATTGTCATCTTAACAACGTATGAAGTGCCCTTGTACTACGACGGTTATTATAATGTCGTGAGGTTATGTTTGCTTGAGAAATATTTTCCTCCTTCATTCTTTAATATCATGATTCATCTAGTAGTATATCTTGTCAGAGAAGTTTGTCTATGTGGGCCATTTTATTTTAGATGGATGTATCCATTTGAAAGATTCTATGACGCGTTTGGTCATTATTGAATAACATATTGAAATTTTATTTTTCTTCTTCTATGTTAGATTGAATTAAGATATGATTAATTTACAGGTTCAAAGTGAACTCAATGGGGAAGACAATAATGGCGTATCAGAAAAGTTGAGGTGGCTAGTAGCTGGTCCAAGCATGGCAATGCCATCATATAGGAGCTATATCTCATTAATGGTGTTTAATTTAACACCAAGACACAAGATGGTGTGCGAACTGTCCAAAATAGTGGAGTTTATTTACTTGCACATACTATGTAAGTGCTAGTCCCAAGGATAAAAACCTGATTATCTTCAATATAGGTTTTTATGGTGTCATTCAAGAAATTTGGGACCTTTACCACCAAAAGTTTAGAATTTCAGTCTTCAAGTGTGATTGGATAGATAACACTTCAGGCCTTGTTGTCAACGAACTTGGATTTACCTTTGTAGATATGAGTAAAATTGGATAAAGAAATGACCAATTTGTTATGGCTTCTCAAGTCAAACAAGTATTTTTTGTTGACAACCCAATGCATCATAGTTGATCGGTAGTGTTATCAATGCCTAATA